CATGAAAGCTGGAGGATCTGGCTCAGCATAAATGTAATTCTGAAATGATGAGCTGCTGTGAGGCACCTACATTCTTCTTCCTTGGTGTTGTTGAGATAACATCAAAGGGGTGCTTGTCCAAAGGGAGAAGGCAATAGGCAAGGCAATGTAGTGTCTCAGTCACTCATTCATGTTGACTGTTGGTTGTGATTTTGGTTCACAGTGTGTTACGGCCAAGCAGTAACTGGAGCAGCTTCTGAGCATTTCTGATAGAATGGAAAGCAAATGGCTCTCTCACAAAGCAGCACCAACTTAACTCAGATATAGCCTACCAGTAGGTGAGGTTTAAATATTTTGAGGCCATAGGTCTCTATTCTAAAAAGCAGGAAGGTGTCTGAAGGCTCATAATAAGCACCCAGTATTACTTTCCAATAGGGTTTGTGACTGCAGGCACACATTTCTGAAAAATGACAAAGCTTAAGCAATTCATTCAACTATACCTGATTTCTAGTAGTGACACAGGAGCCTAATTCTCCCTTTTTGGTGAAGCTCAGATTCTTATTACTTGCTTTTCAAAGTGGAGCTTTTCTATGGGACTTAGACTGCTAATGAGCTTAGAAGGGTCTGAAACTGTTGACCTCTAGACTGAAGGCTGTTTATATCTTTCTGTAGCTGTGATAGGTGCTGTCTGCAAATGTCCAGATCCCAGGATCTGTTCACTTTCTATTTTGTGAATAGTTATATGCAGGTCAAAATTAAAAACTGGATCTATTTTTGAAGTTAAGGAAGAATGGAAGAAAGAAGCAGTGTTGCAATACTTGAGCAGAAGACATCAGTCTGATATTACTGGATGTACGTCTCACTAACTTAAATGTGTCTAAGGGAAATGGATATTGAAGAGGTTTTTGTGCTCCGGGACTCTGAATATCTTGCATTAATTAATTTTGTCTCTTCATAGTTCTCATTCTCAGTAGAATCTGAGTCCTTAACTAAAAAGTAATTAGGCTTTTAATGTGCCTCTGAAAATTTAAACAAACACACAGGCAACTGCTGCTTTCCTTAATCAGAGTAACTCCATTTATTTATTCTTTTTTTTTGTTTTGTTTTTGATATAGTCTTTTAATCCTTCTGGCATTCTCCAAGACAAGCTAGCTACTGTCTGTGTACCTGAGGGATTGTGCAATGCAGACAGAGTTTGCTTCAGCTTTCTTTCACTTCTGAAAAAAATCACCATACACTTAATCTAACAAGTGAAACATTTGATTACATGTTACCTACACAGTACTGGTTTTTTTCTTATTAAGGCTGAGAAGGAAATAAATGCAGAAATGTGTCTGCTAAATTTCCAAGTTAGCAATCTGTTGAAGGAAACTCTGATCCTGAGAGGTGCAAGTGCTGGACTCTTGGGCTTAGGGTCTCATGTGCCTTTCAAAGGTTTCTCAGCCTCACCTCACTGATCCAAAATATATTTCAGTACTTAGGAAAAATCAAAACAAGCAAAATGTTTTATGTCACACAGTGTGATACAGAGCAAAGAGAAGAAAGAGAGAAAGAGAAAAACCCATGTTATTTCTGTACTTTGGTCGTTAATTGCAATTCTCCTGTGACTTGCCTTTTAGAGTTAACCTTTCCCTGGGTGTCTCCAGCACTTAATGTAGCAATAGAAATGTTACTGTTTAAATAATAGCCATGTAACTAGTAGTTAACATAGCAATTGCCTCTCTAGACCGTCATTTAACAATCTGCGCACTGATCCTCATGGACACTAAGTCCCTCACTGTTGTCTTGCTTTACTTGAAGGACAATTGCAGGTTTTGTTTCTCAACTAGCTTGTGAGGACTGTGCCACTATACATCTCATATAGTTAAAAAAAGTGTCAGGAAAAAATATACTGCAAAATGGAGAGATTTATCAGTTATATCAGCTGAGGTGCAGCCTCTCTGCCTGGAAGACAAATCACTCTGTGCACTTCTCTTGTCTTCAGGCACTGCTGGAGAGATTTTAGCTAACTGGACTAAAAAGGAAAGAAAAAACCCAACTCAACCCTGTTTTGCTGTTTACCTTTAAACTACAAATCAGCATCTTTTGCCTAAAAAACAGTGCCAAATGCCTTCAGCACAATCCTCAGCCTAAGCCATCAGGTTAAAGCCACAGTACCACAGAGCAGAAATAGACTGCTCCTCTGAAAGGGCTTCTGAGACATTAGTTCAGCCCTGAGCATATCTAAAATTAATTGCGAGAGAGATATATAATTGTCTGTGCCACATGTATTTGTGTATACACATATGCATGTAAAAATTGCTGTAGTTTATCTCATTCACACACACACAAATATATATATGTATGTATGTGAGTTTGTTTCAGGAATTGAAAAAACCAATGGCGCCAACATGCAAGACAGAAATAGACCATCTTCCTGTCTCAAGTAGAATAAATTAGTGCTGAATGCTGAGGTTAATGTTCACTCTGAATTGGGGCCTGCACAGCTGGGATTCTCAGTGCTGTTTGATCTGCCCTTTCAAGCTCTGATGATCCCACTAAATTGCATTTAATGGACACAGGGCTAAAGTACAAAAAAATGAGAGGGCTTGTTATAAAACAATAGAGACAACTTAGCTCACATGCACACCTGTTCTTTGTACTTCATGAATGACTTTGTCCTGATGTGGAGGGAAAGATTTCATGAAGCACTCCCCTGGCATTGTTTGCTTGAATTTCAGAAGTGCAACTGCCATTTTTCTGTAATCAGATTTACAGTCACTACAGCCATGGATGAATTTCATGGCAAGTGTTTGTACTCGGCTAGTCACATCAGAACAGGATGTGACACATCTGCACACTCCATTGGTAGAAAGAAAACTACTCTGAACAATTATTAGCAAGACATATTTAAGGGAGCCAGCTTAGAAAGATACCCTCCTTGATCTGCTGCTTGTCAACAGAGTGGTTTTCACGAGTGAAGTGGAGATTGGTGCCTGTCTTGGCCACAGCAATCACGAAGTTTAAAATCTCTGTTGACAGGAGAAAAAGTGCCAGCAAAACCTTAGCTCTGGACATGAGGAGAGCAGACTTCAGGCTGCTCAGGGAGTTAATAAGTAAGGTCCCTTGGAAAAATGTTTTTGCAGGTGTTGAGGTCCATCAGTGCTGGTCACTTGTCAAATATCGCCTCCTAAGGGCACAGGAGCAGGCAGTTCCCAAGTGATGGAGGTCAAGAAGGGGAGGCAGAAGGCCAACTTGGCTTAGCAGGGATCTTCTCCTGGATATAAGGAGAAAAAGGAAGGTATATGCCCAGTGGAAGCAAGGTCAAGTGATGTGGGAAGAATACAGAGATTCTGCTTGCTGTTGTAGGAAGAAAATTCATGTGGCCAAAACTCAATTGGAGTTGAAGATGGCCAGAGATGTGGGGGATAATAAAAAGAATTTCTTCAAATATATTAATGGCAATAGGTGGTATAGAAATACCATTGGCCCATTACAGGATGAGATGGTCACTTCACAAAGAGGGACAGAGACAAGGCAGAGGTGTTTAATGCTTTCTTTGCTTCTGTCTTCAACACACATGATGGACCAAGGGGATCTCAGTGCCCTGAGTTGGAGGACCATGACTGCAAGAATGATCAGCTCCCAGTCAACCCTGAAATTGTGTGGAATCTGCTGCTCCAGCTGGATCCCTACAAATCTATTGAGTCTGATGGGATTCATCCCAGAATCTTCAAAGAGCTAACTGATGCCATCACACAACCCCTCGTGATGATTTTTGAGCGGTTTTGGGAATCCAGAGAGGTCCCTGCTGACTGGAAGCTGGTGAATGTTGTCCCAATTTTCAAGAAGGGCAAGAAGAAGGACCCCAGAAACCGCAGACCTGTCAGTCTCAATGCCCGGTAAAGTTATGGAGATTATTCTGGGAGGTACTGGAAAACATCTGAACAACAACACAGTCATTGGTCACAGCCAAGGCGGCTTCATGAGAGGAAAGTTCTACTTATCAAACCTGATTTTCTTTTATGACACGGTAACCCACCTAGCTCATCAAGGGAAGCCAGTTGATGTCATCTTTTTTGATTTCAGTAAAGCTTTTGATACTGTCTCTCACAGGATCCTTCTGGACACATCATGTGGTGGGTGAGCAACTGAGGGTAACAGTGAAGGGGGTGACATCAGACCGGAGACCTGTCACTAGTGGGGTTCCACAGGGCTCCATCTTAGGCCCTGTGCTCTTCAGCATCTTAATAAGTGAATGCAGGACTGGAAGGGATACTAAGCAAGTTTGCAGATGACCCTAAACTGGGAGGAGCTGTTGACTCCCTTGAAGACAGGGAGGCCCTGCAGAGAGACCTCGACAAATTAGAGGACTGGACAATCACCAACCATAGGACATTCAACAAGGGAAAGTGCCAGATTCTGCACCTGGGATGGGGCAACTCTGGATGTACGTACAGACTAGGGAATGAGATGCTGGAAAGCAGTGCTGGGAAAAGGGACCTGGGGGTCCTGATCAATGATGCGTTAAATATGAGTCAGCAGTGCCCTGGCAGCCAGGAGGGCCAACCATGTCCTGGGGGGCATCAGGTAAAGCATCACCAGCTGGTCGAGGGAGGGAGTTGTCCCTCCCTGCTCTGCACTGGGGCAGCCTCACCTTGAATATTGTGTGCAGTTTTGGGCACTACAATGTAAGAAAGATATCGAGCTATTAGAGAGCATTCTGTGGCAGTTTGAGCCACATTAGAAATCTAAAATCCAATTTCCAGGCTTCCCCCACCCCTTTCCACAATTTATCTCAACCCCGAAGAGAAAACTTTCAGGCCAGAGGCTTCTATAGGGGAAGGGGGAAGTATTTACATTTATTTACACAAATAAATATACTGTACAAACTAAAAGCAACTATATATATATATATATATATATATTACACTTCTATCAGTCCCTTCAAAGCTTCTCCTTTTAACTTTAGTCCAGGAAAAGCCTTTCAAGGCTGATAGGTAACCAGTCTCTCTCTCATGGGAGTGTTCGGGGACCCGAACGCTCCCCCCTCACCAAGCTCCAGCTGTTTGTGGAAGTCCTTCCTTCCTCACGAAGTCCAAGAAGGTAGCTCTGAGTCCTTTCTCCTCGGTCCTGTGTCATTTCTGCTTTGTGATCTCTCACTCTTGGTCTCATATCTCAGTTCTGTAGGCTGCTGTAGTGTAGCTTATCAACGTACGCGTCCTCCAAGTCAGTTTTCGGCTGCCCCCGGTCAAACTTCAGCAGGGCAACTCCCAAGCCTCTCTCTCTCTGGCTCTTCTCCAATTTCACCTGGGATTCTTTTCCCTAGCACCGAGCTGCTTCGTTATCAGCACGTCCACTTGGCTCTGCTTCAATGTTGAGCCTTGCACCACTCCCACTAAACAGTGAGAGGGAAAAACAGCCCCCTTCTGCAGCCTGGCTGCAAAGGGTGGGGGAGAAGAAGAAGGCCTGGCCGCAAGGCCTGCCTCTCTCTCTCTCTCCCGCTTACCAGTTGTTTGTGAGTCGCGTCCCTCACAAATACTCACTCCAATGCTGTCTCTAACTCTGGCCTTGGCAGAGTTGGGGGCCGCAGGGCTCCCCTCTCCCCCCGGAGGGGGGGGAAGAAGGAGCCCAGCCACCCCCTGGCCTTCTACACCTACAGGCAGCAGACACCAACAGAAACTGCCCACAGCTTCTGGTGGCTGTGTATATATGATTTTTAGCAGAAGTGAACAAGACGAGTGGTGATTGGCTCTCCAGGGAACACTGCCCTGGCACCCAATTACCTCTGAGCCCCCCCGACTCTCAGGGGGGGCCAGTCTTAACCCATGACACATCCAAAGGAGGGCAACAAAGATGGTGAAGAGCCTTGAGAGGAAGCTGTATGAGGAGCAGCTGAGGTCACTTGATCTGTTCAGCCTGGAAAAGAGGAGACTGAAGGGAAGCCTCATTACAGTCTACAGCTCCCTTGTGAGGGGAAGAGGAGAGACAGACACTGATATCTTCTCTGTGGTGACCAGTGACAGGACCCGAGAGAATGGCCTGAAGTTGTGTCAAGGGAGGTTTTGGTTGGATATTATAGAGAGTGGTTGGGTTCTGGAAGAGGCTCCCCAGGGAAGGGGTCACAGCATCAAGCCTGGCAGAGTTCAAGAAGCATCTGAATGATACTCCTGGGCACATAGTGCAGCTCTTGGAGTTGATCCTGTGCAGGGCCAGCAGTTAGACTTGACGATCCTTGTGAGTCCCTTTCAAGTTGGCATATTCTGTGATTATGTGATTCTGTGAATTAGATTGACCGATTTCACCCATGCAGGCTACTGAAGGCTTACACAACTGCTGTAACTCTATGGAAACACTCTCCAAACATTTCGTGTCCTGCAAGATAGCACTCAAAATTTATCCCAGCTGAAAACCAGCAATTTTTTATCGGTGCTCTTTTTGACGGGGATATTCATGATAGGGGGAGGTGCAAACTGAAAAATATATCCTTTAATTTCTTTGAAGAATCTAGTAGATTTTACTAGACGTTTGTTTCCAAATAAACATGACAAATTTTTATTTTTTTTTCTGAAATGATTGATGCAATTTCCATCTTCTAAATCTTAGATTTATATATGTATTAATCTATTCTTTGCTAAATTTTTCTGTGTGCCCAAGATTGTTCTTGAGAACCAGTTGCTGGGCCTGGTCTTTAAATTCTGATAACAGAAGTGGTCCTTGACAAATCACTATGATCCTAAAGTCAGTATGGTGCTATATAAATCTGGAAAGACAAAAGGAATTTAGTTACTAGAAAACAGTCATCATCTGACTCATCTATATTGAGTTAGAATATAGAAACAAAATGGATTGTCTCTTCCTTTTTGAACATAATCCAAACAACAACATTTAGTCAGAAAATAATAATCTTGAAACTTTAGACATAAACTAGATGTGTATTTTCTCTGTATATAAAAGGCCAGGAAACTGTGTGGTGGAAGTATAGATTAATTCATACTGATGTACTGATTGCTTTCAATCCTAGCCTCTAATGTGTACATGAAAGGGGAATAGTAATGCTGGTTCTCTGTGAGGTCCATGTATATCCCTATGTCACATGTATTGAGTTCACTATAACTGTGTGTGGAATTGTAGAAAAAACTGATGAAGAATGTTTCCCATCCTTGTGTGCTTGATATTACAGATAGAATCGTAGAATCATAGAATGGTTTGGGTTGGAAGGGACCTTAAAGATCATCTAGTCCAACCCCTCTGCCATGGGCAGGGAACCTTTCACTAGATTGGATTAGTCAGAACCCCAGCCAGCCTGGTCCTGAACACTTCTGAGGATGGAGACTCCACAACCTCTCTGGGCAACCTGTTCCAGTGTCTCACCACCTTCACAGTAAATAATTTCTTCATAAAATCTAGTCTGAACCTACCCTCCTTCAGTTTAAGGGAATTCCCACTTAAGTTAGTGAAGGAAAATTTTGCAGATTGGTTAATAAAGAGGGCTTTTTTTTCCCCTTCTCTGTATTAATTTCCATGTGGTAATAATAATTTTGGGGTACTTGAAAAATACTGATGGTCTCTGCAGCTAGATAGTGTATGGCACTGTATAAAGACTACTGCAGGACACAGTCTACATTTACATATTTGAAGCCTACAATGGACCATCATGATAATCCAATTTGACCTTTGGTATATTTCCCCTCTTTTCCTGACCTTGCTCCTGAATTTACCTGAATTAGTTCCTGCTTCAAATCTGTGACTTACCTGAGTTTGGGATATTAGATAAATGGCTGTGTCCAAAAAAGCCCGAGAGGTGGCTGTAATGAGATGTCTCCCAGAGAGTCTGGAAGTGGAGTTTTCTAGCTATTTGTCATAATTATTCACCTGACTCCTGGAGGGGACAAGAATAGGATAGTTTCCTTTGAGAATAAGGAATAGTGCTATTGAATTTTGCATTTCTGATCCTTAAAACTCACTCTGGAGAAGCTCCAAGGTACTTTGCCTCTCCTTCAAGGAAAGAGTACATTAAGTGGCGGAGTGTTTCTTCAGGGAAACTGATAGGAAACGTGCTTAGAAGATAGTCTGCAAAAGTGAAATGACAATATGGAATTGTAGGGTAAGAGCAATTAGCTCAGCTACTGTAAGGAGGCAATTTAATTAGATGATTCAGGGAAAAGCAATTTAGCTTCCCCTTCCCCTTCCCCTTCTCCTTCTCCTTTTCCTTTCCATTTCCCTTCCCCTTCCTCTTCTCCTTTCTCTTCCCCTTTCCGTGCTTCATAGCTGGCTTCAGGCCACTGCAAGCAATAGCATGTTCTCTATTGAAAATTTTCTCATAAATGTGAAGAATGATGTGAGAGAAATGTTGCATTTTGTTAATGGGCCACTCAGCCAAAATCTTTGCAAAACATTGAAACTGATGGATTCTTTTTCCCTAGGAAATTTCTTTGATTCCACCTGCCATTTCTGTTTTGTTGGTCATGTTTAGTGGCATAATATGGAAATGGCTTTTGATGCTAAGAATGGTAAGTGACTTAATGGAGCTCTATTTTTTGCCTTAAGTATCTTGTCTCCCTATTTACTATAATGAACACTCTGGGATGGAGTTTCCTCTAAATTAGAACAGCAAGTGTGTGTAGCGGCTGTTGTAGGGCTGGCTTGAGAACTTGCTTGGAGTGCCAATCAACAGGGCTTTGGGAGGGTGCCTTCGTAGAAAACACTGGACATTTACAGAGGGCTGGAAGTTGGAAATGAAGTGGTGCAGCTGCAGAGACATGGGTCTTCTTTTGTGCTTGCAGAGGTTCCCTGAGAGCTACAGGTGGTGGTAGATTCCTGGTCTACTCTGCTCTTACACTGTAAATAACCACTTAATAATACAATGGTTTATCAGATACATATAAAAGAATAGCAACTGGATAACTTAATAAAGAACAGTGGTATAATAGTGTAATAATTGTATCATAACAGTACTTTTACTATGAATACATATAACTCTATGTAAAAAAATCATGGTATTTATAGGGAGTTCATTTTTAGCATTATCTAATTATAAGAGATGTACAAGTACTAATCTGGGTAGGGACCGAAGTACTTTATATTATTTTTAATAAAAGGGGAGGCATAGTCTCCTCATGGGGCATCATGATGATCTTGGTGTCATTCAGATTTATTTTTTGACCTTCCCCAGTCATTGAGGTGAAGATTTTCAAATACAGATGAAGTGCTTGTGTCCATGTTTTACCATTTAATAAAAGTGGCTTGATTTTCAGAGTGTTTGTGTCTCCCCATCTCCTAATTCCAGTGCAAATCATGATTACTTGCAACAGAGGTGAATTTGGCAGCTGGGACTGTAATTACCCTTCATCCTTCCCACTCAACTATGTTCAACTGATGTTAGCGGTGTTCTCTGGATTTACTGAGCAAAATTTTGCTCTTGGCTGAGCTCTTCAGGCTAATATTTTCAAAGACATCTATAGGAAGTTAATGTCCAGAGCCTACTGAAAATCAGTAGGATATTGGTGGTTTATTCACATAGATTCCTTTGGAAAAGGAAGTCTTCATTTGCTGACTTTGATCATTAAAATAGACAGTGAAATTTGTTTACACCCTGCAAGAAATCTTTATCAGGTCTTACACAGAACCCAGAGCTGAAATATTGAGAGAGTGATGCTGTGTTAATAATGATAATATAACTATCATAGATTCATAGAATGGTTTGGGTTGGAAGATCATCTAGCTCCAACCTCCCCGCCTTAGTGGTCTGATGTGATTTACTTCTAATCAAGAAAAGAAACATAGTTTTTTAGCCTAACTACAGAATCCTGTATTATGCATCCATCAGTGGGAGAATATTTTTTCCATTTCTTACATTTCTGTTCCAAAGGAATGAAATTTCATATTTCTCCAGCGCTGAATGAACCTCTATTTTCCAAAGTGCTCATTCGTATTTAGGACTGATTTAGGAAAAAAGGATTGGCAGGGGAAGAACTGCAAGCCCCATCTCTGTTTTCATTTGCACAGGGCTAGTGTGGTGCATAATGTGAGACATCTGATGATGACTCCAGTAAAGGTTGCTGCTGCTCGGTCAACTTCATGAGGAAGGATAACAACTCCTTGCTGTCTATGCGTAGTTTCCTTCTCAATCTTCACCTGAATAGAAGACAACTGTTTCCCCATCCCAGAGGGATCTCTAACTTGAGGGTTGAATTTGATGGCCAATAGGGATCAGCTAAATGAGACTGTCATGCATTTACAGCATGTGGAAGTGTACGTTCAAGCTGTTATCACAGAACAGTTCATGCTGGATATACCTTGCCACCCAACTCCCTGTTTGTGTGCTCGTGCACCATGGTAATGTGAAGTGATTCAAGTTAGCTGACTTTCAAGGAGACAAGACAATCCTTGTAAAAGATCTGTAAAAGAAGAAAATATTTTTTTTTGCATTGCTTCAAATATGACGTGACTTTTACACTGTGAATAACATTGTTTAATATCTATAAATCTGGAACATAAGCCTAGAGAGGGTCTGTTTCTTTTTATTGGAAGCACTAACCATGATAGTTCTGTTTCTTTCATAGGATGTTTCTCAACTTTCTTTGCAAAACTTTTCGTTGCCTATAAAGGGTTTTGTCTGTGTTTGCATCTATCACTGAAGCTTGTACAAACTTGGAAGTACTT